TTTAAATTGTAGCAATTGATCTGATAAGTTGCTTTGAATTTCAACTTCAACGTTTTGTACGAAGTACTTATAATTAATAAATTCAAATTAACCACTATCGGATATTCATAATTATATGTATTATTATTAATTAAATGGCACGCTATATATATGCTGATAAGAATATTTTAATTATCATTTATATATAAAATTAATAATCCATGGAAATCAATGTATTTCTAATTGTCAATTGTACAACTAGCTTCATTTATATAAGTATAAATGTTTGATTTTCTTAATCTAATTTGTTTTTTAAATAATAGATAATAAATAATACATACTATACATTTTGGAAAAATTTTACTGGAATATATTAATTCTTATATTAGGGAGAACATGTATGAATTATACATAACTAATTTCTTATATGACATTATGAGATATGATAAGAACCATAGATATACTTAATATGTATTATATTCAGCAATTGTTTGATATATATATATATTCGTTTTATTTTTAAATATTTTAAGTAATTGCCTAAGTTCTTTTGTAGTACTAATTACTACTTTACACAGGTAGCAAAGGTAGCAAAAAAGTTTCTGTTTGTAAAATTTTAGTATGAATATTTTGACCAACGTACAAATTATACGAATCAAAAATAATAAAAAGACATTCGAAATAAAAATTAGCAATTAAAAGCTTGTATTATATTTATATATTTATTATAATTGTTATTATATGTTATTATATTTTTAAGCTTGTAATTTAACCCTGCTATTATAATTATTACGTATTGTAGTAGATACATGTATATATTGTATTATACATATTTCTCAAATAATATAATTTGTATTATTTTGTTAAGTTGCTTGAAAAGTTTACGATATTAGCGATCTGACAGCTGATAAAATTCGTTCTTGGAAAAGCTAAGGGTTAAAAAAAAACCATAGTGCTCTACCAACTGGTAATAATTTTTAAATCGAAAACTCAAATTTGTATACTTTAAAAGTATTTAGTAAGTAGTATAACTGGTAATAAAAAAAAAATGGTCTTATTTTGTTTATGGAATTTTGTGCGAAAATAGTTAATTTTTATATTTTCATAGATGTATAGGTATACTTAAAAATAATTAGTGTTTTAATTTGATAAAAAAAAACGTTTTACTCACATTCACGCGAAATATTTGCATATTTGTTATTATATTTTAATTCGTAGGTACATAGTAGCTGTAAAAGTGTTATATATTTCTAATTTGTATATTTTTAATGCGATGTTAATTTAAAGTTATACTGACTTTATGATGCGTTATGATTTTACTAAATGCAACGCATAACATAATATCCACATTTTTATAATGGTGCGTTTACATTGTTTGGCTCAAAAAAGAAACATCGATCTCGTTAGTAGGTATAGACGTATTACGCTTTACCTAAGAAACATCAACTGTCTGTTAATTTGTCGTCATGTATATCCTTAGTTGATTATATGAAAATATTAATAAAATTATTTATCGCCACGTTGTACAAATATTTTGTTGAAAGAAAATTTTTATTAGTACTCTAACTTGTTAGTCATCAGTTTATCACCTACGCATGGATTTATTTTAACGTACATATATTTATAGTTTATCTACATTTTGATCGAGCTGATGGTAGTTTTTAAATGTTACATGCACTAATGGAAGACAATTTCGTGCGTGTATATTTTCGTGTTTGCTATGGAAACAAGCCCGCAGTTGGACGCGGTCCAGAGTTCCTCCCCACCATCGTTTTTGTACGTGTTGTTTATCCAGTCTGTGAAATGGTCTGAATTTTTCTCTGTCGCGGCCGCAATGATTAATTTATAATTTTCACACTTTTTTTTTTTGTCGATCCGCGAGACAACCCCAGTTGTAAAATTGCTTTTTCTGAAGCATTAATGCTGTTTATTAATCCAAAAACATAATGGGATTCCGTTCGAAAAGAATAGTTAACTTCGAGAAACAAGTAGATCACAGCATAAGTAGGAAGGTAGTCATATAATAATTTTACCATCGAATAACGTCCTTTTTCATTCTCATCGGACTAACAATATATTAAATAGATTTATTTGAATATACACCTGGATACAACTTCAAATATTCATCTAAATAAACTATAATGTGTTTGTAGTTTATGTTAGGTCATTTCGAAATAACTCTTAATTATACTAAAAATATATATCTAAGTACATAGTAACGTATTAGTACATATAATACATATTAAATAAAGTGTATTAAATCATAGAGGTTGGATCAAATGACGATATTTAGATTAGTTTACGTATTTAATGTTATGTCTATACGTGCCAAGGGCAATTTTATACCTTTCAATATCAAATTTTAGGTTTATTATTTTTTACGAAGCAAATCGTTTATAAACTATAATATACGAATCGTTAAATGATAAAAGGGGATATCTATATTTTTATTGAAAATACTTTTTTTTGTATATTCATATAAATAATAGGTTGAGCTATCGTTAAATGTTGAAAAAAGACTTCTGCTGTGAATAGATGATGTAATAGAACGATAACTTTTTCATTTAATGTTAGAAGGGGACTTCTGCGGTAGATCTTCTGCGATTTTTTTTTTCTGTAAAATTTGAAAACTGTCGGAAGTCCTCTTTAAACATTTAGCGATTCATATGTATTATCAATACTAGTTGTTAAGCCCATTTTAGGGCTTAAAAAAATCTATGTGCACATCGCATTAGGTTTTCTTTATAGTTTATTATAAGTTATATGGTATACCTTTAAGATAAGATCAACATGATCACGCTAGATATGTATTTATTTTATACATATTTTACTGAAATTTCTCGTTTTATAGTTGGAATACGGATCAAAGTAACTTACCTATTATGAAAAAAACTGAGCTATATGAGAACAAGATCTTGGGCCTATTTTCAATATGACTATTTTTAAAGGTACTTTATAAAATATAGGTATAAGGAGCTATAGCTATTATTATATTAATGTCCTCTAATTTTGAATTGTATAAACAAACGCACTGTTTATAAAATATGTATAAATCAACTTTAATGAGAGAAATCCGCGTTATAGATTCTACTTAACAGTGCCATAAGTTCTGTCCCTCATTTAAATGTGTATATATAATTCACAAAATAAGTAAATATAAAAAAAATCTGATGCTGTTTATTAATTATCAACATAATAACTACAAAATATTAATATTATTAAAATTGTTCATATTTTGCCTTTACAAACTTCAAACGATTTGACCACACGTTTATTACAGCACGATACCCGTACTAACGGTATTGAGGCCGCTGCTTTTATTAAAACAAGTTTTAATGATTCAATATTTCGATAGTGTTTAGAGCAGTTCTTTTTTTCTAAAATACTCCATAGCCGGAAGTTCAAAATATTGAGGTCTAGACTTTCTGAGAGTCAATCCTGAGAAGCAATGAATTCTGGTAAATTTTTCTAACGTTTTTTTGTTGGTTAAAAAAACATATTTGAATGAGAGACAGAACTTACAGCACTACTAGGTACAAGTGCAATGTACGTATAACTTTACACACGTACACACACACACGCATATACATTTATATATAATGGATAAACGCGTATTGTTACTGAAAACATTCGTATCGTTGAATGGTATACTTAACATATGTACCTTACGTACAATATATAAAGTTTTCGGTAAACTTTTCAGGCTGATACAATTTATGGCATTATACAACGATATTTAGGGTAGGTTATAAAGTTATTGAATCCTAGTGTTTGCTGTGTATAAAACATGTGTGATCGTCAATGAAAATATGACTTGATTCCGTAACTATATTGGACACGCTATCACATGTCTATTATGTTAGCTATTACACATCCCTCGAGGTTTTTCGTCACTTTTTACGCTTTTTATATGTACATATTCCACTTGCACGTCGTGTATTGCCCACTGCGCGTGATGCAGTATCAACGAAAAAATACCTTTTAACCACAAATGTTTTTGTTAATATCGAGGATTATCCTTAAGAGTTGTATTAAGAGGGGAAAACCATTAAGCCGGGCGTAAAGAAAATCTAGTTATAATCGGTATATAACAAAAAAAAATGTCAACATTTGTCTCATCATAACTAACGTTGAAATTGACCAATTATTATGGTTTGTCGTTGAATTCCGTGATTTCTTAATCACAATGGTAAAGTTTACATGGCGAGTAATGTATGCTGTAGTGGGTAGAAGACAAAGCTCCTCACCCTTTTTGTAATTATAGCCTTTTGGGCTCGAGCCTTATGCGATAATGTTTACGTTCATGAAACCGGATCGCTCTGTAACGCAATTTTCAAAACAATAATAGTAATGTCTAGCGATCTCAGCGAACGTATTAATTATATTCAAGATCTACAATTGTGTATATATTTTTTATGTAGGTAGTACAAATAGTGAAGTGTGTATGTAATGTTTTTCTAAGTCATGAAACATTATTGAAAAATATGATTTGCGTCTTGCCGGTTAGAATATTTACTCTATGCTTTAAATAAGTGAAACACATGTATAAAATATTCGAGGAATTAAATAAAAATACATTATTATCTATTGGATTCACCAAAATGAGTAGTAGTATAGTAGAGTAGTCTGTAGTGTAAAAATATTGTAAAATTTATTCGGACACTTCATTAAGGCTGACCGTCATCCTTATTTGTGTACGAACGGTTATTTAAAACGTACATATTTAACTAGAATTTTTAGTTGAACTAGTGCGTGTAAAATACGAACAATTAATGATTGTAGGCCTCCTCTATTCGTGTCCTTCCAGCGATGAGTTTTCTCGTTGTACGTATAATTAGGGAAACGTGTGCCGGGTGTCGCGATGGCGCGTGCGATATTATTATTGTACCCGCCGTGTCGATAGTACGCACGGCGGGTACCATTATCGCGTACCACGCGCGCCGCACGCATTTTCAGCGGTGGCGGCGACGGCGCTTTCTATTTCTGTACGCGGCGTTCCGCCGTACGCAACGCGCACGACAATATTACAACATCCTTGGCACGCGCACGTACGACCTACGGCTGCGGCTGGTGCTGCTGCGGCCGCGGTGGCGTAACGCACGGCGACCGCGGTCAGTCGGCGGCGCGCAATGGTGCCGGTGGTGGGCGACAAGAGCAGCACCGGGTCGTCGTCGGCGGCCGCGGCCGCGGTATACACGGACAACCCCAAGGAGCGGCTAAAGGAGTGTTGCCGCAAGCTGGTGGCTTTCATGTGCACGCAGGTGGGCGTCGGCGGCCTGGTGGTCGGCTACGCGGTGGTCGGTGCGTTCTGCTTCATACAGATCGAGGGCCAGGCAGGCGACGCGCAGCAGCACGCGGTCGAGATGCTCCGGCACAACTGCACCGCGGACGTGTGGAACGTGACGGCCACCGTCAACGTTCTGGACGAGCCCAGGTGGCGCAGCCAGGTCAAGGACGCGTTGCTGCGGTTTGAGAAGAAGCTCGCCCTGATCGTCAAGAAGGGATACGACGGAAAGACCACCGAAGAGACGTGGTCCTTCTCCGCCGCGCTCATGTTCTCTTTGTCCATATTCACCATGAACGGTTACGGCAACGTGGTGCCCAAGACCATGCTGGGAAAGGCTGCCACCGTCGTGTACGCCGTGTTTGGCATACCCCTGTACGTCCTCTACTTCCGTAACATGGGAAAGGTACGCCGTCTTGGTGGTATATTATACATCATACTGTAATATTTACGAATGGGCACCCATAGGAGGTATGGTTACGGGAGTAAAACAAATTGTATAATACATATTTCATATCCTGTTTTATTGTTAATAACAATTTTTATTAAATTGCAAGTATTCATTATTTTTTCAGTGAGGCAAGTCCCCCATCTTTCCTTTTCTAATGGGTGCCCATTTATACACATTTGAGGTTAACTTTTTATTTTGTACTTCACTCGACTGACGAGAGTTTATTTTGTGGCGTTTGTTCAGACTGCAGTACATATTACGTTTCTTCATTATACATTCGTTTTATGAATTATATTTTTAACTAATATTGTAATTTCAATCTTCAACACGAGTTGATTTTTAATCCAAACAAACGTCTGTTTAATAGACGTATAAAGTTTAAAACGATGCAAGCGTACTTAAATCATCTTGTATTTATTTAGGGTAATGCCTCATGTTCTAGGCATTTACTATACGGCCCCTATTTACGAATAAATGTCATAATAGCCCTTGGTGTAATATTTGTCATGTTGTCCTGATTAATACAGGTTAGAAATTAAAAAGGAAGTTTTAAAAAGTTATAAGAAAATGAAATTAGTTATACGATACAAATGTATATAATAGTTTTCAGTACATGCATTTGTCGATACAGAGTTCAGGGATAGGACTACTTAAAGTAAATAGAGGGTCATTTATAGAACTTTAAAATTGGGGGTCAGTGTAAAGACAGTAAAAAAAAAAAAAGAAAAAAAATTATTAAAATTTGACGGTTAGCATTAATTTAATTTAATTTTTGTGGTTGAACCCATACAATAAAATACAAAATATAAAAAAAGTATTTAATACCTATAGCCTATACTCCTATACCTAATATAAATACCTATAGCTGCGTTACCTATGCTGATATGGATATATATTATATTAAGAATTTATTAATTAAGCTTTAGTTCAATACTAGAATAATAATAATAATAATAATTAGATAAGAATATTATATCTACATTTTACAATTAACGTAATAAAACGAAATACCGATAAACGCTAAAATGTTATGAAGTTATTTGAAAATGAAGTACGGGCCAGATAAAAAAGTATGCGAGCCATGCTATACCATAGTCGAATGAACAAAATTGATTATAATCTGTAATTTGTTTGTAATGAAGTGAGATTTTTATTTTAATTTCGATGAAGTACATGCGTTAAGTAAAAATTTTCTCAATGATTAAAAGTACTCCAATGAAGAAATTAACAGAAAATAGTATTTAGTAGGCACTTAGAATAATTAAAAAGCATTCTGAATACTACCCGAGTCTGGATTAATTTGTAAGAGGAGTGTTCTTCAGAATACGAGTAAAAAAAATATGCTTGCTTGTAAAATGATAATAAAAAAGATAGCAGGTATATAGAATAATAAGATTGTATGGTTTCAAACGAATTAATAGACAGCGGTAGTCTTAAAATTTGACATACAACTGTTCTTTTAGTTTTTGTTATGCATTTTTAACTACGAGTTTCATAATACTAACCCACGGAAATTATAAACAATTAGTGATAATGAATTATGCCGTTTTACAAAATGTCTGTCAATATGCCGGAAAAAAAGGATATAATTTAATTTAAAACGATCGATCAAATTGTTTATACTTATATTACAATTTTATTTTTGTGCACTCGTTTTGTAATAAGATACATTATTTCAGACCCGAGTACATGCAACTTCGTAATGAATGGTTCTATATAAGTTTCATTAAGTTAATAATTAACTTAACTTTAATTTTTTGTATGCAAATTTATGGAAAATATTGCATTGAAATTTAAAATGTTTAACTAAAATATTTTGTTGAAAATTTAATTATCGTTGAAATTTCTGAGAGGAAAAGTTTAAAACTGTCACAACTTAACAAATCTATCACATTTTTTAATGTTTGTGTGCACACACATCAAGGTTTCAGCTGATTTTAACAAACACTGAATTATTAATGTTGTCTATCGAAATTTGGCTAGCGTGACTATTTTATATAATATCAACATACAGTCCACAGAATGGTGTTTTTATTTTATTTTTTAATTTGTAAAATGAATTATTTTGACGATAAAAGTTAAAATCATTAAACAAACATCAATGAACTATTACTTAAATGCGTATACCGTAATCATGTATGTTTTTAGTTTTATCAGTGTACCTTTTTGGAGTGATGGATTGTAGTTTGTTATTTGATTGTTCGCATTTTTTCTAATAAATAAAATATTACTAGTTTTAATTTTAACAATTTTTTTTTTCTTTTGGTTCTTCAAACGCATATTTTTTTCAAGGCTTACAGCGAAATTTAGAAGATCCAAATAAGATATTAGTTTATTATGTTTTTTATATTTTAAGTTTGCCGTCGTCACTATTAACTAACGTACAGTGTTTATAAAGAGTCATTCACCACAATCCTAAAATGGTTATCGTTGCCAACGTAGCTAATTTTCATGGTTTTTTATTATACGCGTAGAATATACATATAAATAACATGTATATTATTTTTATAGCGGAAGGTTTTGAAGCGCCATAAATTATTGTTCAAGCTTTTATCGTATTCGATGACTGTCTTCGTGCCTGTGGTAGACCATGAATTTTTAAAATTATTGGGAATTTAATGTGCTCAAACATTGTTGAGTGTAACAAATTACCGTTTTCGCTCCTCCACTTCCAAAAACGATTTTTTTCTACAAACAAATAAGTATGAATAAAGTCTATCACTAGCACGTTTTGCCGATAACATGTTATCAATCAATCTTGATTATTGCACATCAATTATTATTTTCGGTGATTGTTAGATTTACTTTTGTTTTCGTTTCCATCCCAGTTGCCAAGTAACCAAACCGAATGAACGACGACGGAAATAATTACATTATCATTGACCTTTTATCGTGACACTGTAAGTTGCATAGGGGACGATGAGATATTTCAGAAACAGAAAGGTGGATGGTGAATAAACCAAAAATACATCACAATATAGACGCCCCTCCCCCCTGATCGGAAAACTTAATAATCGCGACTGTTAAGCAAAGTTTATTTATTTTATTAATTTAGTTGATTGTATACCCGTTTTGGTTATTGTATTATTTTTAATATTTCCTTAATAGGTGTTGGCTCAGACTTTTCGATGGCTTTACACATGGGTGTACCAATGCAGCATGGAAGACAAGGTTGGCGGCGGAGATTTGTACAACCAGCAGCTTCCGCAGAAGTCGAGAGTGATCGTACCGTCCACGGCTTGCCTGTGGGTGTTGGTAGCATATGTGGCTGCCGGCACGGTGACATTCGTCACCCTTGAAGACTGGTCTTACATGGACTGCATGTTTTTTTGCGTCACCAGCCTATGCAAGATTGGCATAGAGAATTTTGGGCCGGTGGGCACTGCCAAAGAATCCGGAGTCATTCACCCGATGAATTTGATCATCAAGTTTGTTTATTTGTTGTTGGGCATGGGTATCATAGCCATGTGCTTTGACTTGATGCGGGAAGACGTTCAGGTCCGGGTAAGGAATTTGAAAATGGACATCGGACTGTGTTTCGAGGACATACGACTCAGAGCCGTAGCCGTGTACAGACGCCGAAACTCTTTCGATTGATATATTATTTATTATTATTATTTTTTATTATTATTATTTTTATTCTTAAAACTAGTAATTTTTTTTTTTTTTTTGCTATCTAATGTATTGAATTAATGTATTATACATATTTTATTCTATTATATACAATGTTTATTATTTTTGTATGGTGTAAATCACATTATTTATTTTCAACAGATAAATCTAACAGATAGGTAAATTCCTACGCGTGAATCCTTTCACATATCAATCATTATCATCGTCGCTATAAGTATCAGTGTATCACTATAATTCTGTCGACCTTTTTTTTTTTTTTTATAAACAAATATTTCACACGCGATATGATGCGTGGACGTGTTTGTACGTGATCTCGACCGTGCCGAGCGTTAACTGTATTTAATTGATTGTTTGGTTTTGATTCAATAGGTTAACGATGAGTAACGTCGTTCAGTATGTACTGGTGCGCGGCGATCTGACTAGAGTCCTGAAATGGCCGACTGGCGCCGTTATAGCCCAAGCGTGTCACGCGTGTGTCGCCGCCGTACACACTTATTACTCGGACCCGGACACACAGGCGTATCTGAAAGACCTCGGGAACATGCACAAAGTCGTATTAGAAGTAAGTCTCAATCACGAAGACGCGCGTTACGTGTACGGACAGAGTTCAACACGTGTTGGGACTAGCATCAATACATTTTAACCGCCGCAATAATAATTATTATTATTGCTCGTCGCGTTGCCGGCGTTCTCCAAACGCGGCGTAAATCGAAACCGATCGACCTATAATATAGAGTAGCGAGTTTTGTAGATGTTTCAGCTTCCCGTTTTCGATCGAAGGGGTTATTGTTTTACATCTATTGCAATTAATTGATGATGATGAAACGATGACGTTTAATTTAGTTTTGTGGTTTTTAATTGATACCGATATGACGATATCAAACATGTACATCATGCACATGTGTTATACACATATGTACACGATTTATGTTGAAATCGATCTACAAACGTTATAAGATATTTTTTTTGTTAGAACTCAGTTTTGATGCTCCCGCACCATAATGAAATAGCGAGATACCGATGTTTCTTTGCGGTTGTTGGGTGTGATGTTTTTTCTAAAAATAAGTATGTGTATGGTGTGTTTGATTGAGTTTAACTGAATAATGCATATATTTTTGGTAACATATCGAGATCACATATTATTCGGAACACTATATACTTCGGGATACTCTATGCCTAGGGATACTATATTTGTCGAGATACTATATTCTTCTGGATACCATATACTTCGGGATACTATATACCTCGGGATATTCTATGCCTCGGGATACTATATTTGTCGAGATACCATATTCTTCGGAATACTATATACATCGGGATATTAAAATTTGTTGAGATGCCATATTTTTCATGATACTATTGATAATATACGATTCTTTTTTAATTTGTATCAAAAAAATTGTATAAATATTATCATGTGTTAACTCATATGACTTATTATTATTATTATAAGATATAATACTTTTCTCAATTAAACTTACATTATAAGAGTTTTTAATTATATATTATAATAACTCAACAATTAATGTTATCAGTATCATATAAATAATGTATTGGTAGTATACTGTGTATACAATGTAATGAAATACTTTTTTTGTTGATGGAAATAAAGGATATGATAGTGACGTTAAAAATTGACATTATAAAGGGAAGTTATTAAATAATACAAATTAACGAGTACATTGCAATTGAAATTGAATGAAAGTTTTTGTGTTGAATACTTTGAATATTTATAGAAAAACCATTCAGTAAGGTTATTTACTGGTATTAAGTCGGAATTGGAGACATTGGGGTTTCAGGAAACTCAAATTATTTTCTGATGAACCGTTCTGTGGTCGTAAAAGTTTTTGGAACCGCTGCTATAGAGAGAAGAGTGAAACATAATAAGAACATACAAAGTGTGGATTATATTGCATTAGTCATTAGAGCAGCTTGGAAAAACTAGCGGTTAAATGATTAATTTCAGTTTTGAAGGGTGAGAAAGAAGTAAATATAATAGAACTTATAAAATAATTTATTGTTTACTATTTTATTATAATAAACGATATAAATTTTAACATACAACCTATATTTTTAATTTTGATTTTCATCTATTAAAACCTTTAAATTAAATATTTTAGCTAATTTGTGTCTAATAATAAATTAAGCTTTAAAACTAATATTCTTTTCTTAAGTCAACAGTTTTTTATCCTTTTTTTTTTTAAGTTTAATTAATAATAATTATTTGGGTCTTTATTTTTTGTGTTTATATTTAAATTTAAATTACTTTGAACATTCTTGCATATAGATTATTCACTGAGGTTTTTTCTACTAAATTCATTTCCTTGATTTATTATTCTTTCATATATTTACTAACAATGAATCTCGGGTCTATTTATTTTAGAAATATTTTATTTTGATAACATAGCGATCCACTTTTCCGATACCATATTGTTTTTCAGCTGTGTAGATCAGACATGAATTTTTTTTTGTGTTCTCGTGTTTAATCCTATTTAATTCTAAATTGAATTTTATTTTGTTTTTCCACTCCGGAGAAAATATCCGTTTTGATTTCGGTTTTGCGTTTTTCTCATACGCTTTTCTCGGTATTAGTGTCATAAAAATTGTGCCATTGATTTTATGCATTCCCCCTAGTGCTGTCTTATTATATAACGTAGAGATGTTGCAAATATTTAGGAAATATATATATATATATATATATATATATATTATTTTATTTGATAAGTTAGATTATACTTTTTAACGTCCAAATTTATAATATTCGTCAATTATTTCGTTTAATTTTTGTGTTCCGTCAAACGATTTAAACAGTGTAAATTGATCTTATTCTCAAATTATTTAGTCAATTAATTTTAATAAATATTATGGCTACTACAGAAATCATTATTATTATAATCACCAATATCCTTATCATCATCATAATAATTATTATTGTTGCTGTCATTATTAATATTTTGTTTGTGTCACATGATAGGTACCTGACGAGTCGACATTGTTAAGCGTAGCCGAGGCTATGACATCTGATGGTGTGCATCACGTTGTGTGGAAAGAACAGCCCGAGGACGTGGCCACGTGTCTGGCGCTTAAACCTTGTGCCAAGGGTGCAGTAAGCAAGTACGTGAGGAAGTTCAAGTTGTACAGTGCGTGATTTCAGTGACGGCGGCGGCGGCGGCGGCGGATACGTGGGTGTGCAGGAAGAGCCCACTCTACGATGATGACAACCACGGTAATAACATGGTAAGCCCGTGGGGATCAACGGCCACCACCAATTGACATCAATCATTTAATTGGCCGCCGTGGAATTCAATAATAATAATAATAATAATAAACGACAATGGTCACCTTAAATACACGTACAATCGTTTTGATTACAATTGTATTTTATTTTCCGATCCGAACTACGAGTATTTATCTTTCCCTCTCCTCTCTCTCCTCGCGTTCTTACACATACGCGCTTATTGTTCAACATGGTTCCAGTTGAATTTTCAATCGGAAACGGCGACGACGACGTGCACCGACGTACGTAACGGTGTGAGTCGTCGCGCCGTTGTAATATTATTACGTCTAAATCTCCTTCGGACTGTTGTGTGTAATTTATGACATTGCTGTGGGATTACAGAGGAAATAATGAAGGTCTAGAGGCGAGAGCATCCGGTTAAATTGTATTTATTATTAGGTATTATTATTATTTCAGTTTTTTTTTAATAGGCTCATTCAGAACTACAGTCTTTATGGAAATATAGTACGAGTATAGACACTACGCAGTGGTCGAGAAGTACACGCACGCACGCTCGTAACAGTAGTAATGCGTATTTCGTGCACTGTAATATACACGGTAAACGGGGCCGCGGCGGGCGAGTGTGCTTTTTGGACGCTGGAAGTATTTTAGGCGATAAAACGGCATATGGATATGGATAACTTTGGCCGGGTAGGGGAAAGAAAAAAAAGAACGATTTAACAACGTTCTACATCAAGCACAACACGTATATAAATTACAGGCGTTCGTAGGGTTTTGTCAAATTACACTCTGGCTGGTGTGCGCGCACAGCTTATGGGAAATATAGTTTACGAGTTTAAAAGTACGCGGTAGCAGCAGTTGGCGATACTACGATAGTGTGTGCATTGCGTAACTGATGTACGTATAGTAGCAATAAAAACTACAGCGTCCGTTCCTCCCTGAAACTATATATTATTTCAGGAGATTTCGAATTTCTACACATTGTTTCACAGCTCTGCAGATATTGAATCGAATTCGTTGTTGACTAATTATTAAAATCCTCTCGAGAGTAACTGATAAGTTTTAAAGGGGGTTTCTTCCCGGTAAAACTTATTGTATTCATTTCATATATGCGGAATGTATAACTAAAATAGAGTTTGTTACGCTTCCAAAAATATTTTTAAATATGAATTGTGTTATTTATATTTTACAATATTATTTATTGTTATTATCATTTTTAAAAACTTAAATTGTGTATATGTTCACAAAAAAAAAAAAAAATAAATAAGTAAATAAAGAAACAATAATATCATGAAAAGTTTTCAACGGATATTCATTTATTTTTTAATAGATTATTAATTTTTAATTTCGGAATATTTAAAAAAAAGTAATTGAGAAACTTTCAATTTTTAAAGAATAAAATTTACATGAAAATATATAATATAAAAATCTTTTTAAAATATGTCTTTAAAAAAACATCCAAAAGTTTTCATTTTTAGAATGTTAAAAATTAATTTTACAGATTTTTATATTTTAGTGATCTCGTAAATAGTTAAAAGTACTGATAACTAAAATCCCAATAAAATAAATATGCATTAAAATTGTCAAGATTCTTTTTATATTTCAAAGATAATTTGAAGAATTTATTTAGCATACAAATAAAAATTTCATATTCATAATAAAAAATTAAGGAAAACGTATTAGTTAATGTGATAACAATCAGGCGCGTACTGGGTCCATTTTCCCTGCTGGGAAACTGGATATAATTAGGGCCCACTTAATATATATACCAATAGAAATAAGCCTCATGTAAACCTATCTATAACAATAACCAGGTTGTCTACCCATTTCTTACACAAAACTATAAAGTAACCATAAATCTAAATAATTAACCAAATCTACATTTTGATTTAAGTGATCTTGAAAAATTGTAAATTAAATATTAAAAAAAAATTTAAAACGTCATATTTATTATATAATATGAATAGTATGTTCTTAAATTATAGTTCAATACTAGTAAAATAATATATAAATAGTTCAGTAAAATGTTTAAAAACCAATTTTTTTTATTACTTTAATCGAAGTTTATTCATTGTAATTTATGGAACGTTCCAGCCAGATTGACGTTTTATGTCCATCTGTTTACACAATTATTGTCTATATTATTATTATATGAGTATAATATAAGCTATTAGGTATACGATTATTAAATTTCGGGGGTAAGAATTATATGAAACAGCCTTTGGGAATGAGCTGGCTGGACTCATGAACTGGATGTATTAATATTGTATTGTATACAATAATGTATTTCGTTGGTAGCCATATTACCCGTTTAATATTTTCTTATGAAAGGTAAATAAATTCTCGGGCACGATTGTGTTGTCCCTTGTAACGACCAACCACATAGCAGTTGGACAAATACAAATGGTCTGCATTGAAAACCATTAACGATAAAGTACTCACGACAAGTCAAATGTAAACTCCTTTTGCGCAAAAGCGTATAATATTATCTGTCCGTTTTATCATCATCGTTCTCTAAGTATTATTTCAAAACTAATACTTGTGGGGCAGGAGGTTTATTTATGTGTTTTCCTTTTGTATTTTTACAGTTTCTATCTTTCGTCACAACAGTTAAATTGATTACGCATTCGTATCATTCAATTAGTAACATTAATATTTTATGATTTTAAATACAGTGGAACCTCGATAAGTCGAAATTCAAAGGAAATGTAATTTTTTCGACTTATCGAGGTTTTGACTTACTAAGGTTTTCGAATTAGACCTACCAAGGTTTTAGAAAAAAAATTCGACTTAAAGAGTTTTTAAAATGTACTAAAGTTTTTAAGTAGCAACTGACAATCAGTGTTGGTATTGCGGAGCCCTGGACATTAGCCTTTACGATATAAAATGTCAATGTGTCTCACGGTATTAAGATGATAATTTAAAATCACAGGGACACTTTAACAAGCATGGGGCCCTGGAAAAATATCCCATTTGTCCTCCCCTAGCGCCGGCACTACTGGCAATACCGATACAAATGAAAAATACGAATTATGAAAAAAATGTGCCGAGGTAAGTAAATACATACGATAATAAATACAATAAACGCGATTAGAAAAAATCATCGGAGTCTAAACTTTAGACAAATATTTATAAAGCTATCTGTCATTATTCGTCTATATTCGGAGCACAATATATTCGAGTTATCTATAGTTTTTTTTTTCGAGTAATCGAGGTTTACGCAAGGGAACAGAATTGTTTTCGACTCATCAAGGTTTTTGACTTATCGCGAGGTTCCACTGTATTTAAATTATTTTCGCCATCATGAGCAGGCGTAATTTATAAGTACGTATCTATCCAGTCAATACATTGATAATAATATAATAATATTAAAGCGTATCTTATGGGGAATTCGAAAACACAGTATTTGCACCTATTAAGAAATTCTAAAATGCTCGGATCGTCTTTAATTCAATTTCTGTCGATAACTACATATATCCATTTTACATAATGTAGTATTGCTGACATTCTTAGTAGGCAATAGTGAAATGTTTATTTTATTTTTATTATTGGTTGTAAAATATATTAATATTTTTTCACTGGAATTATTCAATATTATATTTAAATCAAGAAAAATAAGTATACATTTTTGTTTGTAGATATGTTCATAATATTTTTTTTTCATCAGAATAATATTTATTCTACATTACTGAGTACGGATAAAATGACTAAAACTAATTTCCAATATTTCTTATGTAATAAATATACATATGTATATTTATATACATATATTATATATATCTGATAATTCAAAATATCGGTTTACATAGAAAAAAATTATAAAGTACAACGTATTTAATAAGATTTTTTAGAAAGTTATGTTTTATTTAGTCGTAATTTAATACAGATGATATTATCTAATTATTTCTTACTTTTAAAACACTTAGCAGCGAATAGGTTTATTTCTGAAGAATGATTTTTTTATTTTTAATTCCTTGAAATTAATTTTCACTTTAAATTGATATTATTTAATGTTATTTATAACACTTTTATTTCATGCACAAACAGATTAAAGACCATTGAAAAAAAAACGTGTATAAAATTGAAATTTAGTAAAACATTTAGTAAATATAAATTAATATAAATTTAGTAAATATTATTTCCAACCGTTAAATGTAAATTATATAAATACGATAGTTAAGTTTTATAACCATACTCTATTTTTATTCCATTTGTCTTTTTATTATTCAAACTAATATACTACCTAAATTACTAAGTACTTTACAGACAGTTGAGTAAAAATCGATGAAATACATAATTACAGGCTAAATACAGCAGGTTAATATTAATATAAATACATTACAAAACAATTTATACACAAATCACAAGTGACGAGTATTATACAATACACTCTCGGTGATATAGATATGATATTTTTGAGGTGTTAACATGTTTAAAATTTATTTTACATTGATGAATAAAAAAAACCAAAAATATTTGATATTAAAATATTTTATCTGTGTTCATATTTAGTCTTCTCGTGTAAGAATAATAATTTTATATGCAACAGCATTTTTGAATAGCATTTATTATAGATCTTCCAGTTTAAGTATTATATTCAGCGGCGTAACATGAAAATTTGGGCCCCGAAGCGAAATTTTCAACGAACACAGACTATCTAAACTATTCATCTAGACTAGTATTGGAAAGTCTAGGGGGTGCTTGTTAATTTTATTTTCATTATTTTGTAATGAAAAATATACTTGTGAATGTCATTTTTTTTTTTATTAAATTTCACTTATCGCAGTCGTTTTTAGTTTAAAAGTTGGATACACTTGTTATTTACACGAATTATTGTATACTAATATACATATTTTATATAATATTGTTACCACGACCGGTCAAGGAGGAGGAGGGGGGTTGAGGTGTGCTTAGGCACCAGGCCCCGCACTTTCAAAGGCTCCGCGCTTTATCTTACCAAAATTATACAAACCAAAAATAAAACTTCATTTCTCTTGAGCAACAATATTTTAATGTTTATAAATGTATTAAAGGCGAGTGTGTTAAATAATTTAGTTATTATATGAATTGTTGAGATTTAAAACGAGGTACGGAATCCTTCAATAAATTTATTTATTTTAATTTTATTTATTAATA